TGGTTCATCCATTTCTCTTCTACAATTCCCCTTTTTGACCCTATCCAACCTCACAGCGTGGAATATTTGCTTATCTATATTGGAGGCTTTTACTCTACGTCAATGTTGAAGCAGTTCAGTTCTTAGAAACCGCTGAATAAGTGTGAAGACTCAAAAGTACTAAATCTTACGAGCTAGTGGTCAAAGTGCAGTGTAATGTGTCACTTGGTCAAAATTGTTTAGTTTATTCGGCAATTTTAAGATAGGAAAAAAGCTTATTAATACAAGTATATATCCTATTGCTGTTGGAAAAGTTTTGGTACGGTAAACACGCTGTCTATCAATATTAATTCCTTCAAAAAGTATTTTAGAAAATTGTATTACGATATCGGGTTATTTATCTAAAGGAAATTCTAGATCGACTTCCAAATATTCTATTAACATTCAAGACGGGATCCTTTTGAGTAAATTCAAATAGCTCCTGAAGCAGGCCTATTCTTTCGGGACCTTTTCAAATTCTCATTGTAAATTCAATATTTAAGTCTAGTGAATGCTTTCGAGGCCATTGTTGAAGGCACAATATAGATTCCCGAACTTTACGTTTATGTTATGAGTTTCAGTGTCGGGCATTGTATTTGACGAGCTGTGACGTTTTTACAATAAAGCTTCCTAGATGAACACCTCGTCTTACTAAAGTAATAAGGAAATTATTTAATGGAAATCCGTACATCACTCACACTCTAAGGGCAAGATCTATAGAGCGCACACGCAGGGTCTTCAGAGTAGTAAACTATATATGAAATTTATTATGCCATACAAACTGGTACCGTCAAAATAAAAGTCGTAGGAGAAAACCGTGACATTAGACACGCCGTTAATTATAATTACGATTAATTAACTCGTAATATCAGGGAGCAGAGCTAAGATGGGTTGATAAATAATGTGGCGTTCTTCATAACTCAGACCCTATTCTAGTGTGTTAAGCGTGAGATTCTCGACCCTCAGGTTGTGCCTTTGAACCCCAGCTGTGACCTACGAATAGAGTTTTCTTTCGTAAATTAGTTATCTATGTATTGTATGTTATAATTTTCATCAAGAGATTGTTAACCGTATTTAAGTTAGAAATATAAGTTTGAATATCCTGTTTAAATTTACCTGCATATAAATCTCGTGTCGCTGTTTGCGCTCGCATCCTCTTTGATTAAAAACGGCTCGACTTATTTTTATATTTTTTTTAGTAAATTTGGTAGATATTTCATATGAGAATATTATTTTATTTATCTTATAAATCCCTAAACTCAATCTTAGCAGGAACTAATTAATAGTAATGAGTTTTACAAAGTGAATCGCTACGTAAGATATTTGTCGTGAAACCTAAGTTCATAAGCTAATCATCTTACGCTGACACATTTGTTCATCCTTGAATACTTTGCAAAATTCACGACTGAGCTCATCAATACTGAAATGTATTGTTGAGTACGGGAATCAAGGATTTTTTCTAAAGTCTGGCGTTTTCTCAACTACGTGAGTTAAATATGACGTACACATAGTGACATGTATCGGTTTTATTAGAAGCTATTCCGCGACAGCACTCTAATAATACAGGCGAGAACGACAGTGCGAGACACATGGCCATACAATAAGCGGTAGACAATTATTTCATGTCAATTAAAAACAAATAACTTCACTTATATTATATTTCACTAGTGGTCACTTATATTTTCATTAAATTATATTTCTATTTATTATTTGTATACTTTTACCGTGTTTTCTATTTTATGTCGTGTAATTGTAAATGGACCGTGCAAACCGATAAATAATGTATAAATGTTTCTGTGTAAATAATTGTAATTTTTTTAGCAGAATTAAACATTTAATAACCGTCAGCACCGTGCAGCATTATTGCTGTAAGTCTGCAATATCCAAATTATTGTTAGTTTAATGTTAAAACTGCTACGAAAAGTTTTAGTATTAGTTATCCCTAAATTTGAATACCTTAATTCAATCAATCAAGATCAATTATTAGTTCAGTAACAAGTGGTAATAGAGTTAACAAAGGTATGTTTAGAAACAAAATGCAAGCAATGTTGCAATAATTCTTATATGATTAACATAAAACTAACTTGTACGAGCTTAGGCGCTTATTAAATGGCCCCAACATGTATGATGAGACACATCGAAATGCATTCCGCGAGCTCTTCTGCGGAAACAGCTTCAATACTCGAGAATACGTCGCGTGTCAGATACAATTTGTTTTAAATCCCGTAAGCTTATGCTCCACTCTATTCGTAACTTTTACGATTTCCCCGAATGTATTAAAACGTGGCAGCTTTTTGTATCCAGGCTTAAGAAAACAGAGTTAAACAGGATTTGAAAATTGCCCCTCAACGAACTTCTAATATAATAATTAATAAATTATCTCTTTATAACTAACTATATTATATTTATGGTGATATTTTTTTAAGTGATCTATGCAGTTGCTTTTTGGACTCAGACTCCTCCTCCTCCTCTCCCTCCAAAACTCCGGATGTTTTAATTTTTATTTAATTACAACCTTTATAATACATATATGTTGTTTAAACTTTTAGTTATAAAGGGTCTCCAAAAGGGACTCCATAACATATGAAGTCTTGCCGAATGGCGGCCGGAAGCTGAATACAACTTGAAGCAAGTATGTCATACGTTCTTGTAATTAATTTCCGGCAAAGCCTTTGCCGCGGGCTCCACGTAACCTGGTTAGGGAGCTTCACACTTAGTGAACCGATGATGCTATTACTATCGTAATTAATATGATCCTACGTACTATATTAAGTTATTTATCATAAAGTTTTGTATGTTTTAAATAAATCAAAATGATTTGAATTCGTTACAAGTATACTCTAAAGTGTATCCATAGTTTCTCCGCTCGCACTTTGAAATCTATTTTCGTTAAGTTTTTTTTTTTTGTTTATTATTTTTATTATCTCTTCGTGTATGTTATGTGTGCCTATATGTGCTAGTCACATTAAAACTTGCACTTATTTTTCTTGTACCAATGTATCAATGTGCCAAACGTTGGCAAGCTTTTATAAATAAATAAAAAGTAAAATATTAAATAAAACAAGTTACAACTTGGAAATTGAGGATGGCAATTTTACATTTAATTTAATTTAATTATAACTTATTTAATTATAAATATGTGTTTCTTTCTTTTTTTTTCTCTTAAAAGACAATTCACACCAATTGACCTAGTCCCATGCTAAGCTGGTGAAGCTTGTGTTATGGCAACGGATATACATACATATTATAGATAGACATATAAATACATATTTAAACGCCCAAGACCTAAGCACAACACCAAATGCTCATCACATCGATGTTCGTCTCAGCCGGGGATCGAACCCGGGACCCATGGATTCGCAGTCAGAGGTACTAACCAGTGGACCAATGAGTGACATTGGCCTTGTCCTGTCCTTGGCGTTATTCCTTAATTAGTTTTTAACATTACAACTTAATACTAATTTGTTCATAAAATAATACTAATTTTATTAACAAATTAGTTAATTTTCTCTCTTTCTTCAGTCGGAAGCTCATTTCTGAGCGTCGTGGTCAGCAAGGAAACATCTGGAGCGGACAATCGGTTTCCACCGGTTTTTGTCCAGCGCCTCTCTTAAAACAGTGTATAGTTTTATGGACTTTCACTTGATTGGTTCATCAGATTGGTGAACGACCACGTGATCTTTTGCCCTCTGTGTTACCAACCACGATCAGTATCTCCAAGTTCTCATCACCTCTGCGCATTGTACGGCTGAAATATGCGATAACTCGCTATCCGTATATGGTAGACAGGTGAGTCCGTATGGTCAGTTGGGTCAGAATCGATGTGTTGTTGCGCCTCGCAATCCACGCATTCTTAGCATTCGCCCCCGGCACCACATCTCAAAGGCATCAATCCTTTGCCTTTCTCGAGCCAAGTTATCCACGTTTCTACTCCATACAGGAACAAATTAGTTCATTTTACAAGTCAAAAACTTGCGAGGGATTTAAAAAATAGCAATTTATTTTATCAAAAAGTAATTCTAATTTGAACACTGCGTTTAATTAATATAGTAAGCAATCCATTAATTATTCATGACGTATGCAGATTACAGACTAATTACACTAATTGTGTTAGTTTGTATATTACAATAATTATTATCATCGTGATTTGTAGCTGACAAAAAGTCAACTTGTTATTCTATTGCCGCAGTAATTTGAAATTTCTAACGTTAATATTGTTGTAATGCTGGAAGTTTTAAAATATTAAACGCAGATCCACATTAGACTTACATTATTCCGACTTTAGGATTACACAGAACATGATAATATTATATTAGAAGATAGTGACAGTTGATATTTTGGATCGGGTTTGCATAAAACGTATGTATAGGATGTGATTGGATGGACTCGAAATTATTAGATTATTTCCATTCTCGTTACAGCTCTCGTTAGCAAAACGCATTGCGTTAAATCATTGTTTTATTTTAATTTGCAATATTGGTTACTTGGTTGGTTGGCATTTCACGAATACTTAAGATGTATAAAAATTTTAAATTATTAATTATTATTGATTATACTAAACAAAAGACATGACTTGAAAATGCCTACTGTTATTTATTTTATTGTGCCCAGTGCACAATGTGCCCAGACTACAGCTCTTTCAAGGTAGATCACCTAGAATTGAATATTGTGAAATAATTACAAAATAATGTATATATAACAACTTTATTACATATTTACAAATGATACATAAAATTCATTCTGCAAAATATCACAAAAGGTAGTTTTAATGATCGTAATTTGTCATGAATGCTCTCCGGTTGAGTATTTATATGAACACATTATATCATCACTAGATGGCACTATTCTTTATTGCGAATCAATTCATTACTATTGAAATACTTTACCAACTTACTAAAAAGCATTAAAGTATTACAAAAAAATGTATGTACGAGATAGATGTTAGTTAGCATCGCCATCTAATGTAGTTGTCATGTTATAGTTTAGTGGTATCCGTAGCCAAGACCGTGGCCGTAACCGCCGTAGCCAAGACCTCCGTAACCGGCAGCTGAGGAGCCGTAGTAGCCGTTTCCGTATGACCCGTATCCACCTAGAAATATATAATCAATCGTAAATTTACGAATAAATACTATAGCAAAGTTTATACGCTGTAAATGCCTTGAATTAAGACAATCATTCATGGTTCTGTGATGTCAAAAGCTGTATAGAAAATCGATGCATTAAGGTTAGTTATAAGAATAATTACCGTATCCTCCGTAACTTCCGTAACCTCCGAGAGCTCCGAGACCGTGGCTACCGTATCCTCCGTATCCGCCAAGACCACTGTAACCGGTGTGGTCAGTGGTGTAGGCAACTTTGCTTACTGCAACGGGTGCTGAAGAAAAAAATCAATGTTATATTCAATAATAAAAATGTATATGTTTGTCCAGGCGATTGACAATTTTTGGTCACGATTTACATATTTCCTTTTGAAGGTGAGGCTATGTAATATTAAATGTAGTTTGTTTGAAGTGAAACATCGATATCAAGGTGTATTCAAGGCATAAGTTAATGTTATAACACGAAAAAAGTTAAGTAAAAATTGGCTTTGAGTCACAACGATTGCGATCAATGAAAACACGAAATTCAATGTTAGATTGTTCAATGTTAAGGTCGCGGTGACTACGCAAAAACAAACTTACCGCATGATCGATTACAATTTGTATTAGAATGTTCATTTTGATATAAAGAATAGGTTTTATAGGAGGGCGTTTACTTTATGTTGCTTAAAATATATTGGATTAAAATACTCTTACATTCCTTAACGTTTGGTTTTGTATTTTATTTTAGGAATTATTTCTAACAACAAGTTCAACAGTAAAACTTACTTCACCTAATTATTGTATAATGTTCTTTATGTATAATGTATATACTTTTTTCTACATGGTATACATGTTTTGTAACAATAAAAAGAGATTTTATATAAGTCTGTTCGAAACTGTAAGCTGTAAAGTATGTAGACGTGAAATTAAAAAATATTTCATATAAACTTTCACCTGGAAGAAAGTTCGTAAAATTGTTGAATTTTTCATTACTCTTGCTTTGGGATTCTTGTTGGTCTCTGTACAATTTGAAAATAAAGTGAACAATGTGATACGTTTACAGTGAAACCTGAATTCTGTCTTTTACGTTAACAATTTAATTGTGATCAGATTTTATGTTTAGTTTTCTCAAATAACTTCACTTTAAACCAACCTATATTGAGGATGTTTTTTATTATTTTATAGTTTAAAACTGTAAGTCAATATGTTTTTCTTATTTTTATGCGCGCGATTGGTCCTGATATAATTATGAGATTTTATTCCAATTCAACGAAAATAATACATCATGCTATTTTGAACAAGTACAAAAAGATTCTTTCATAAAATTTAATTAATTTTTACCCTTAATGGGATAATTTTTTCTTTCTGAAAATATAAGTGGTATTTGTATTAAAAACATTTGCAAGCTTTTTAAGGGAGCCTTAAACCTTTGTATATGCTAAATTAACCGAGAGAGAAAGATCTAAATATTAAATGGAAAAGTAAAAGGCATGGTTTTAAAACTTTTCAATTATTCTCCTGAGTTTTAAGAAAAAAATATTTATTAGTTCGATTAAATTTATATTTCGTATTTTTTGTAATTATTTTGAAGTCTTTTCATTTGCCTATACACCCCACGAGTTATCAACCTTTTAATTATTTCGTTTGGTGAATTTATATTTTTGTAAGTTAATCAAAATTCCTAACACTTCTTTGAACAAAAACTAAATATGTTGCGTGCTGTCAATATAATTATCTAATGAGGCGCGTGTCGATTTACATAAGAAGTAATGACATAGGTGAATAATGACAATATGTCAAGGGTGGCATACTTCCCACGTCTTTAATCTACCAATGTTGAGGAAATTTATTCCAACTTCTGAACTGCAGATATCTTGGCCTCATCTTATACGATCTTGGCTATAATTATGAAATTAAATAGTTAAATCGGTGTTAATCAACTATATATAATATATCCCGCAGCTTTCATAATAATTTCTAAATTTAATTTTAGTTTTTAAATTCCAATCCTTAAGATAGGTATATTTTTGAATCACGGGTCAATAGCACTTTGGTTGGTCGGTACGCAACAGACCAAAACCTTTCAAAGGGATAGAAGGGTATTGAACGACTTATTCACACGATATGCAATAAGTATAAAGCCACAGATGCGTTGCGTTATCAACGTGATAATAAAGCTTTATTTTCCCTGCCTATACTATATTATTTTGATTTGAGAACGAGATCGAAGATCTGTCGAACAACGAACGAATTAACGGCCCATACTATTTATTGGACTAATGTCGAAGTACATTAAAAAACTCTAAATATATCTTAACTGAAAGGTCTAGAATGTATCCATGCCAAACGCAGTTAATAGATAATGCAAAATAATGATAATAATGATCATGCAAAATGAGAGTGAATCTTGTTAAACTAATCCTAACTGATTCTAACAATTAATGCCGTTTTATTGCAGCCCCGCCTTTGTTTGCTCCGCAATTTATACGACAGTTCGAGCTTAATCGGTTCCTAGATTCCGAATTAAGGCGAATAATTAACTCGCGACAAGCAATATACATTATTTACTGTTTCAATATAACTAAATGTACTTTTTGCTAACATAGGTGATGTTACTATAAAACATAATTAAATAATTGCAGCAAATATTTGTAATATGCACTTATAATAATAACAATAAGGTAATTATTCGTAATTAACACATTGCATTAGTTTCGTAAGTTTTCGTTGGCCTGTCGACCGTGTCTAACCATCCTTACTGTACGTTATTGCTTTTAATTGGCAATGAATAAAATTAGAAGTTCGTTAGGATTTGCAAATCGAGCTGTTCAATTCCTTTACGAGTACATTAATTAGTTGCCGTTTGTACGAAGTGAACTCTCGCTTAGCAAGAAAAATATTTTAACGGTTTTTAAGGACCATTAGTTTAATAAGTGTCTGTTAGAGGGAACGAGAAATATAAATATATAAAAATAAATAATATAAAATAACCAACATATTATTTGAGGCATTTATAACCGACGCCAATACACGTACATATACTAATATGTATAGTGATAGTAGCGCTTTTAGATGAATATCTTGGGCTGAGTAGTTTGTTTTGCATTATTCCTACTGATCTAGAAACATTATGGACCTACCGTATCCACCGTATCCTCCGTATCCGCCGTATCCACCACCGTATCCGCCGTAACCCGCCGTAGCCACCACCGTAGCCAAGTCCGCTGTAGCCACCATAACCACCAAGTCCGGAGCCGGCAAGGCCGCTGTAGCCGAGACCCCCATAACCAAGACCGGCAACACCGCGTTTCTCGGTCTTCTTGGCTTCATCAGCGGATACTGCCGCGACGGCAAGAGCTACTACAATCTGGAAATCACATTTATTATTAATTATTGAACATAGTTAAATAATTTACCTAAATAGTTTCTAGACAGTAGCATTTACTTTTTATCAATTAATTACCTTAAATTTTAAAAAAAATATTATTATTTTGTAATAGCCACAAACTGTATGAACATAGAATCTAGTAAGGTGTAACGTAAAGCCTGCATTGACTCACACTTGGCCTTCGCCGCAGGATATCCCTTGGCTAAACACAGTGTTCAGTTATATTACAGATACCATTAACTATAGCTGTCGAATTTCCGTGCTAATCGAATTGGCCTACAAATTACTGGGAGACCTTCGAGGACTTTTCGGCACTCGAGTAAACAATTTTATTAATAATTAGAATGTTTGAAAATAATTTAAAGTTTTTAATAATTCATTAAGATAACTTCAGCTCTTAAAACGATATTTGTACTAAAGGGTTAAGCAATAATTGATAAAATCTGTAAGCAAGAAGCGCAGTTCCCGACAAAGAATTACCCTGTTGATACCTAATTACTGGATAACTATTTCGCACAATAGCTATTGTCTAGATTGCTTCATCCATTGTGAGTTAAATTGTACCGGCTGTTGGGACTAATTAGCTAAGCTTCGATTATGGATGGACATTTCTTATATTAATTAGACTCGAATTTTATGTTATTAAATTTTAAGATTTGATAAACATAATAATCAATTAGTTTTAAAATTTTCAACAATTTTTATGAAACTATTGTTTGTACCAAAGATTTTAAAACCAAAAACAAGGGTAGTTTTTCAAAAAAAGGAATATTAAAAAACAATTAAACGATCGATATGTTTCAAATAAATCCATCCATGAGGTACTCACCAAGAACTTCATGTTGTCTATAGTACTGTACACTGAGTGACTGATGCCTGAAGCTGCACACTGACAGCTTTTATACCACGAATTGTGGCCGGAGTAGTCAAGGACTAACCGTTATTGTTATAATTTTAATACGGCTGTGAGAATATACGAATTTACGCTTAAATCATATCGTATTTTTGAAAATGAGGTTAGCAGCGTATCTTTGTATTACAAAAACATTATCATAAATTACCTCCGGAAATATTAAAAACTATTTAGGCTCTTAATTAATTGTAAATTGTTTTTATTTTTTATTCCTTACAACAGTACAGAAATCACCACTTAGGGGTTTAACCTTGGTGTCTGAAGGGCTACCACGGTACAAATTTCTGTAAATTCCTTATAAACTAAAGAGTTGAAAAAAACCCAATCAATACAAAAAACGAAAACAAAGAGAGAGAAAAAAACGTTTTGTTACCCATTACACTAATATTTCATCTATCTTAATTTGCTAAGTTACATCGAATTTATCGACAATAAATTCAGAAAATAGTGTCTCAACACACAAGTTAATCACTATAGCTTTGCTAAAATAAAGAGGTCAGGGAAAACTCTAACAACTTGTAAAAGAAAAACAATTTCCCAAAGCAAAAAGTCAAGTGGAAAAACGATGTCTTCCCGCTTTCAAGTTTTTTGCGAAAAGCCTCATTTTGTCAACATGAGAGAAATAATGATGTACTTTTTAAAATACACGAAGAAATAAGAGAGGTTTTACTTATAATTGTAGTATAACGTCCGTTGTTCTGTCTGTCTATCTATTTTTGGAAAAGAATAGATTACAATCTCAGAACGGCGCTATGTGTAAATTGTGTGATTTGAGAATAATTTTTGGATATGTCATATTAAGAAAATTTGATCAAATCTACATTTAATGTAAAAAAATCTTCAAATCGACTAGACAGTCGACGATATAGGTTGCATGCATCGGGAATAAATGTATCTTCGTTACCGTTTTTTGAAAATATTCGATTCAAACAGAATAAAAAATCTACATAAACATTAAACGCAAATGAGTGGCCACGAGCACTAATTATACACTAATGCATATAAAATATGATTTTATCTATAATTTGGTTAACAAAAACCTAAAGTTCACGTTATAACAGGTCAATTGGCGGTTGGTAGCGCAAGCGCAGGTGCTTAATGTACTACTTGATTTATGGTCCTTCTTCAATTGCCTTGTTATTATCTATATTTATTTGTTAGGAACAATGATAATATTTGGAAATATGAGAACGTTTTACAAGTCATTTTCAATCCGCGATTCCGGTGATACGAGTAGACATGCTTCGTAAACATTTTCAGGTTGCTAACATAAGTACTTCGCTATTTTCAATACATATTTCCAATAGTTGTGTCCCTTTTTGTATTCATTTGCGAACACTGGACTTCCTCTTACAGTAAAAATATCGTAAAGTCGTAACGTAATGTAACAAATGAAGTCACTTTAGCCTTAGACCTATCCTTGTAACATCTAAATTTAGTTTTCTAGATAAACCCAACAGTTCTCCCTCCTCCAAATCATATAACACAGTTAATTTCAAATATATTATACTAACAAAAATAATTTTTACAAAATCCCGAAAATCCTCATTACAGGTAACGCAAATATCACGTAGATAATCGCATGTCGTAGCTAAGTGGGGAAATTGGTCAACATCCTCCACCGGAAGCAATCAACACTGATATAATTTCAAATCCTAAATCAATTTGCCTGGCTTAGGCTGCTTATAAGCTAAGGCTGAATAAACACGACCGCATAATGCCATTACAAATTAGGTCACACCAGTAATTTCATTGTTTATGACTTCTTGTAGTGACGAGTAATTTAAACTGAAACAGTAATTATTATTTATCCATTACCTCGTCTTACTTTAATTATTTCATAATTATTAAGTTAATTATTTCCACAATTATTTTGTATCATATTACGTCATTCTTCTTTTCGAGTTATACACGCCTTTGGGAAATACATATTTAACTTAGAAAGTAACATTTTGGTAAGTATTCTTTGTTAATTCAAATACTATAAAAAATTAGGGCTTGTAACCATTTGAAATATTGACAATTTGGTAGGTCACCGTTTTAACTTGAAACAATCTTTTATTTTCAATATCATTTAGGTAATAAACAAAAGGCGTAACCAATACAGCGATTGAGTAATTGCGTAATGGATTCCATACCTATTTGTACTTTTATAGTTTGATTTAATTGGATGATTGTTGCTCACTGCTCAGTGCTAGAGTTTTGTTTACCCAACTCGAGTGTCTTAAGTTCAACTTCTGCGCAAAACAATTGTTGTTAAGATTTCTGAATGCTTTACTAACGCTTTATACAAAAGACTTTGTTTAAACTTACTTCACTTTCGTGTTGTTTATTGTAACCGTTGGTTTAAAAAATTGGTTCGGCCGTTAACTCGGTAGTTTTAAGTTTGAAATCGATAAGTTAGGCTTATTAAAATAAATAATTACATCGTTTAGCACTGTTCTCCTAAAACATAAATGTTCGTTCTTTGGAGATAATCATCATTACCAAAGGTACATAGCGTTTAAATATAGGGGCGTATAGTTTCAGTAAGATAGAGAGATAGCAGTGCAATTTAAGAGCAATCAACAGTATTAATTGACGTTACATTATGTAGCTCGGTGTGAACGTATCGTAATAGAATCTAGAGCTAGCCGGCAATTATTGGAATCCTCTTACCGAATGTGTCTGCAATTCCATGCTTTAAGGAGCTGTTGTAATTCCAAGTCTCTCAAATTAGACTGGGTTCTCACTACTGAGAGTCGGCATGACCACGCCTTTCGACTCCTCATAAAATTAATTAAGAAATGATACAATAAATGCTGTATTGCTGTTATAATCTTTAACATATACCTCATTACACATTTAGATTGAAGGATAAAACCGTTCTGGTGTCGTTTTCCTGATATTATGTTTATTTACATAATTGGTAAGCCTAAATTTTTTGTTAAAGTGGCTAGTAAGCAACATAGTAATGTTGTGGTAGTATTTTTTCTACAATTTTGTTACCATCTTGTTTAGTTTTAATCTTATTTATGTGTGTATTAATTGCTGTAGTTTGTTAAAATAATTGTTTTTGTAGAACGAATTAATGAATAGATCATGATCATGGATAGGTATAAAATAATTTTATTTATAGACCAACTACAAAATTTGGACATTAATGATAGATACTCACTTCAGTTTATGTAATGTATACGAGGCTCAATTATTGCTGAAATTCGCTTCAGCATTTGGCTATTTCCGATATTCCATCAACCCATAGGCTCTATGTTTGCTGTTTGATAAGCAGCAAAGTTTTGGAATCAAAGAAACATCTCATGATATTTTCCGGCTAAGAATATTTAATTTGATATTCAATATGTATTTCATATGTCTCTTTAGGGTTATTAACTGTAACGAGTTACTGTCGGCTTTGATCCGTCACTTGACAAAACGATTAAAACTATGTTGCAATTTGTATAATAATTTCAAATATGAATCAGAAATTAATTATGAGACGGATAAGCTATAATCATAAGGTTATCTGCGTTCTGTGTTACACACATATCAAATATGTATATTGTTTGTATTTGCATATACCTACCCAACTAACACTTTTTAGTTATCGCAATAAAGACCTGGTTTTATTGAGACGTAAGGACTAATATTCAACGGAGTGGAAACTCTTATCTCGTACCAAAAGTCTTTTTCCCCACATAACATAAAAATATATGAAAATATAAAAATAACCTTGATAATAAAAAAAAAATGTATTATAAAAAATAATTAAAAATAATTATTATAAAACTCACACACGCAACGATGAATTTAAACAATACACAACAATGTGAAATTGTAAATAACATAAATGAAACATTACTAAGGCTAAGGCAACTAATAGGACAAACTACGACCTGCAGCTCACTTTGCTAAGACATCATTGTTTCATTTGGGAGATGGAGGACATTAGATACTTTAATCTTATGGTTTTCAAACGTTACTATTGAATAGAAGTCAACACTATTGTAAACTGACCAGCGAGTCCATGAACTGAGCTCGCAAACCGATGGCAGATGAATTTATAAAGTGTCTTTGCTAAGAATCTAAGGACCGGGCTATATGCAGCTAGTGATGGATATTTGTTTAGTTGTTCTAAAAGATATAGACTGAATATATGCCTGGTCTCAGGCATGTGTGGTATTGTATATTTTTTGTGTCTCAGATACTCGTTTTCCATCATAGCATTCATTCGAATCGTCCCTCGGCGTAGCGTAGAGATGTGGGGTATCTGCATCTTCTACCGCATTTACCATGGAAAGTGTTCAGAGGAGTTGTTATTGCATATATTTGCCGCGCACCGGCACCACCAATTTTTAAACGTCAACGCACTTGCGAGCCCTCTGGCAATGTGATCTATGGGTCTATCACTTAACATTAGGTGATCCTGCTGCAGGTAAATGTGCAGCAGGCCGTTCTATAATAAAAGAAAAAACAGCTTCATTGTTGTGTATCATTCTGGTATTTATCTAAGATATTGTGCATTTCTTGGCATTACGAGTACTTATACGATAATTTGTCTTAACGTTTAGTCAAAACGAGTTCAGTTGTATCAATGATCACTAATTACCTATTTTGAGCACGAAGATAATATCTTTATGAGCAAAACACTCCGTGGAGCCGCTCATTATGAGCACATGTAATAACATTAACATTTTTATCCACAATAATAGTAAAATAAAGCAAGTGTAAACGCTTCAAATATTTAGTATTCTTAGTCAAAGATTATGTAAATGCTCGCCATACAAATGGTATAACAATTTGGTTTGATTTAATTGATATCTTTGTTCTTATTATCTACAAGAGCTATCTCATGGAGGTCACTATCACGAGATTCATTGATGAAAACATCGGTTGGATAAATCCTCAGTGAAATTTGGAATCATTGATTGCTAATTACAATCAACTGT